TAGCTGATATTGAGTGTCAGAATGACGCGGTCACTCAGTTGCTAAGCTATTGGCTTCGACGCCGGGGGTCCTGAGTCCGATTCTCACACGGGATAAGTATTTCTGTGACCTACAGATAATTATTTCAGATCTGCTTTGTTTCCAAGGAGAATTGAGGTCGGGCAGGCGGCCAGTAAGAAAAGACCTAGCCAAAACCACTTACATTATTAAACACGTGTTGTGCCGACCTCACTTAGGGCAAGGGGTAAGGGCAGAAGGATCACGAGTGTCAGAATTGAGTGCAGCTCTCTACCCATGTTAGCTGTTAAAAGTAAAGGTACCCTGACGATCGTTCTTCAGCACTTAATTTATATCTTCATAGATATTTTAATGTACCAGACGGCTATGGAAAACGTTCGACGAAAGTTACAGCCGTTATTCAAGAACAATACTTTGTGGTCTCACAGTGAGCACGAACGCATAGGGCTGCTAAATAAAATTCTTAAACGATACTTGAGTGATGCGCAACGCGTTCATTAGGGTCGACACTTAATGTAAAGTAAGTAGGAGCTTAAAGTAGCCCCAATGCATAGTGTGGCTTTTACAAATGACAGGTTATATTATGCCTATTTTGCTAAACGGACCAATCACAGATCTGTAATCGGGGCAGTGCGTAAACAGTTAAGTGCCGCCTGGGTGATATTTGTGAATAACATGGCCTACCATTGCAAACGCAGTGAGAAATGCCTTACTTAGCACAGTGTTGTTCTAAATCTTACCTGAGTATTGTTCTTGAATACGGGTGTTAGTTAGTTACTGCCTTTGTGTATCTAATACGCATCACCACATGAGGACATTACCTACTAAAACATACGGGTGGATGTAAATGCAAATCATTGTTGATACGAGACGTCCATTAAATGAGAGACCCTTTAACATTGTCATGTTTAACCGCCTCCACGTGGGTGTCGACGATGCTGAAAGTAAATAGGCGAATATACAATTACGCAGTAATCGTTAAAAATTTTAAAGGAGCAATTTCAAACCTTTTATTATCAAAAGTCATTATTTTTTTCAATTTTAAATTATTCTTAAAGGCTTCATACATCTGTTGTATTTATGACTACGGTTAGTCTTAAGAAAGCAGTAACCTTTAAAAAAAGAATCTTTTATTTTCTCGAAAACAGCTAAGGCTTACACTAGTTTTAATCGTTTTTAATCTAAATTTAAAAGAAACATATCGAACTTGTAGGAACAATTTTAATGAACATGAACACTGAAGTCAAGTAGTCTTTTACAATAGGCAAAAAGCACGCCCAGATTTCCAAAGTTGCTATTCTCTTGAAGATAGAAAATTCGCTAAATAATAAATCGACAGAAGCTGAACATCATACGTCAGAAAATATGTGAATTAATTAGTTACAGTAATGGTTGCAACTGTTTATAATTTTATGTGAGAAGGTGGCAAGTGAGCTGGCGGTTCACCTAATGTTAGCATCTGAAACGCCCGTAGGGTTGCAGATGCGTAGCTACCTTCTAATAAAGTAGGCCCCGTCTACCTCACTCACCAGACGAAACTTAGAAATATAAAACACTTCCACTTCACGCCGGTCTTCCGTGAGATCGTGTTACTTCCTGGGATGGACCTGCCCATTCGTGCAACAGCGAACTGTTGCCTGCCTCTACCACAGTTAAAATTACCTAGTAAAAAATCTGACAGTTACTTCTTGATATTTTGTTAGTTTTTTTTTATGTGACATAAAAAAATGTTCCTATTTATTGGGTGATCAATATGCTTAAAACATAATGATTGCGTGTAAGCAACTATCTCGATATTCGAATTTTGAGCAAGGTTTATAAAGGTTGTAGTTACTTTATAGTGATGTAAGTAAATGTGAAGAAACAGGGAAAAAGGAGCAGGTGTGTTTCCAGGACCGCGATTAAGGACGTGACGTTATCCATTCTATAAAAGTTTTTTTCTTTCTTAATTCCTTATTATATTTCACTCTCTCACGTTTCTGTACCGCGTCGGTAAATGTATACGCAATTACAGGACGTCAAAACGTTTTCTAAAATTAACATGGGGTCCCCGTTTCATTCAGTTGTCAATGTTCAAGTTATCATAACTTCCTAAGATAATAACCCTTTTAAAAGATAAAATATGATTGTCACCGAAAAATGTTGTAACCCGTTTCATTGTCAAGTAACTTCCTGAACCCTACCCAGAGCTTGCCCTTCTATGATCAATAGAAGCAGGTTATTAATATTTTGATACTGTATAACTATATTTTATTTTTAGCATTCTTATCTTTCTTCATATTTTAAATGAAAAGACTAGAAAGAAAATTGACATTATTTAACTCCTTTAATATTTTTTTTTTCTTTTCATGATAATCGTGAATTTTAAACGTCACGATTATGGTCCATTAACCTTTCTAAAACGAACAAATAATAAGGATAATAATAATAACAACATTATTATAAAGAAGCCTAATAATACAGTTTATTTTCTTTTTGATTTCCACATATTTAAATACCTTTTCTAAATTAACACAAGAACTAATTTATAAAATCTTTAAACACCTAAATGACAAGCTATCTAGCAAACGTACTTCCCGCGGCATAATGCCAGTAAGTCTGTTGAGCTTAAATAGAATTACAATTAGAAGCACTTAATCTTTCATCTAAAGAGAACCAACCAACAGCCACAGAAATTCCAGTAACTTTAAACTTAAAGATACGTAAAAGTATTTTAGTATTAATATTTGATATCATTTACTATGATACACCCACACAATAGTTTCTGAATAGACCAGCTTATCCTAAAAGAAAGACACATTAAAACAGAACCCCCTTTTTTAAAGTTGAAAACAAATGCAACCCTACAGGCGGCACTACACTTAGCATTATACTAATGGACGACGGTAATGAATCACATAATGTAAACCTGTGATTAGTTGTGGTAGGGCCAGACAACGGTCTGCACTGTAACACGAACGGGCCGGTCCTTCTGAGTAAGTTCCACGACCTCACAGAAGACCGGCGTGAAGTAGAAGTGTTATACTTCTGCGTTACGTCTGGTGAGTTAGGTAGCCCACTTAATTAAAAGGTGACAACGCATCTGCAACCCAAAAGATGCTTCAAATGGCCATGGACGGTGGTTATCACTTAACATCAGGTGAACCGCCAGCTCGTTTGCCTCCTACACACATAAAAAAAGCATGTCTGTCATTAGGACAACCACCCATCAAAAATCTACAATACAAATGATTTTTCATTATAAAATACAGTTTAAAGGATTTTAATAATATTAAAGTCTAAGCCACGCTCCTAGTCTCGCATGGTCTAAGGAAAGCACCAAATAACATATCCAGATGCTACGTGTACAAGGACACACGTTCGCCGTATTACACGAATATATTACGAACCATATTCACCGTAATATTTCATAAAAGTTGACACCTGCGATTCCAAAGCGTCCATTCCAGCTTTCCTTACAACACGCTGTCACACAAAACATTAGTGTGACGTGACATATGACGTCGCGTGGCTGCGTGCGCTAATAAATTTCAGACCGTCGCCACGTTGAGCCTTTACGTTTCATCGATCCGAATACATATTTTATTAATAGTAACACAACTGACTACATTTTATTTAGGAATGTAGGTCACAATTTATTACATATCAAGTTCAGAAAGTCTAGTGTTGGAAATGTTTGTACTAACCTTTAAATAACATATAAATTTTGACGTACAATAACTCATTTAACTTTCGATAAACGTTTTGGTTCGACTAGTATGGAATATCAATAACAAATAATACATTTTTTCACTAAGTTAAAAAAGTCCCTATCGAACTACATAAAGCAAAATAAATTCACTTCCAAAGCAGTTCATAGTTAATATAAGTTATACAATGAAATTTAACCGTATATTTTTGAGTTGTTTTTCACATTTTGAACACTAAACATAGTACAGGCTCACGTCGCTCGCAATACACATTATGAGCAAATATATAACATAATTTTGCGGTAACATACTATTTTGAAATAAGAGCCTTTGTTTCTACATAAATACGAACCGTCTTGATGTAGTACTTAATAGATACGCTTTTCGGGCAGAATTTTAATTAACCCAAGGAGAATGGAAACACGGTGCTAGAATATAAATTGTAAACAATGTAACAACGTGGGAGGGAGGAGTTACTAAAATGGAATCTTATGCCAACTACATTAAACCATTTTTTGTTTAATAGCATAGAGCGACCACCTCTCATATTGCTGGTCGATAATTCACGCTAGTCATTCTCTCTTTCTAACCGCGACCTAACTAAATCTCCCCAAATTTTATAACACTTCACAGTATAGTAGGATTTCAAGTACCGCTTACTACAAAAGATATTACGATTTTGTCTCCCTGATTTTTGGTAAACGTACGTAAAAGTACACAGTCAATTTCGTTCATTGATAGCTAGTCTCTGAGTTCGCTTAGTAACTTTAATGCTAATTGTAGAGTTGAAAGAAAAACGAGCAATTATTATTTCTAAGACGTTTTTCTTCCACCACTATTATATACCCTTGACCGTGTAATGTAATTTTGAGAAAAAATATCTACGCTGTGCTGCCGCAAACGTTCTTGTTAATATGGAAGAAAAGAAAGAGGAACAAATCAAAATTATTTAAGTCGTGGATGAATTTTAACCATTTTTCCCTAAATGAACGGCAATATAAGAAGATTCCGAAATTCAAAATCAGGAATATTAAAGTTAAAAAGCTTTGGACATAATTTGAGAATATACTTTTGCGACTTCGCCATTTTTTTGTCGCTATCAGGGAATCGAATACTTGATGGCAAAGCACCTCAATTAACATAAATTTGTTTCCAGCTTCCAACCAAAGGCATTGGGAATATTCAGATATTTCCTTCACTTCGAGCAACAACAAATATTTCACTCGTTTAATTGGAAATTCCATGCCAGTGTCTGGTTATAAAAGAACTTTTTTGTTTTACTCAAATGCAAACATGTTGATTGAAAATAACTTTAACCGATTTAACGTTTTGTTTCATGTGCGGTGGCGGGTTGCAGAGCGCAGCTGGAGTAAGTATTTATATTCTTTATATATGTTACTAAATTATTATTAAATGTTTAAAGTAAAATAATAAAAGAAAAGCCCATCGGTGTTCCACTGCTGGGCAAATAATTCCTTTGGATTGGATGACTTCATATACCTATCTTAGAAATATTTTTATTCGAATTATTATTTCGAAAATATGCAGTTTTCCTCACGATGTTTTCTTTCTCGACTGAGCACGTGATAAATCGGTACTTAAAATTCAACAATTTCATTGTTGCCGGTACCGGGGATCGAACTCAGGTTGTTTGAGTATATTTAGTTAAATGCGAGCGAGAGGACAGTCATAATACCCAATCAGTTTACCCAACATAAACTTTTATAACACTAGTTCTTATTTGTGTATTTTGGTTCTCTTTTAGTAAATGCAATATCTTTAAACACAAAGTAAAACAATAGCTGGCTTGTCTACTTTCCCATAGGATAATCGGCGATGATATCTAAGTTAGATAATAAAAGCTCTAAATTACCGTTTCAAACTTAAATACAAAGGGCTACTTAAATAATGTAGAGTACACTTTTTGCATCCGTTACATTTTTCATATAGTTATTCCAAAATTGTAAAAAGTATTTTCTCATGTCCCTGTGCATAACCTTCTTTGAAATTGCAGATCCTATTTCACGAGTATAAAATCTTTCGTTTTGGACACGTTTCTAGTTAAGCAAACTATCTAGATTACGATAGGATAAATTTTAAACGACTTTTCTTTTGTAAATAAAAAATTTACATTTATCTTTCGTTTTGTTATTTATAAAATATTTACAAAATGTATATATTTTATAAATCATTGCCATGTGAGTTATTCTTTGAATTTGTTAAATTAATATATTAGTACCTGGAGGACTGAGCTTTGCTCGGTTTTTTTTTTGGTAAATCGTGTATTTTGGAAACAAAAAAAATATTTTGCCCCCGAATCTACGCACATACTAAATTTCATGAAAATCGCTGGAGCCGTTTCCGAGATTCCGATTATATATATACAATAATTGCTCGTTTAAAGGATAAGATTAAATATTTACCGCGCTTTTGCCAATTTTAAAACCTAAATTAGTTACAGAATAACGCCGTTTTCCATACATAAATAAATTACGGAAGAAACTTTGTCTCACCTTCAAATATCAAGAGAATCACCTCGGTCAATCAATATAGTTAGGAATCCATTGCCTCGTTTGAAATCATACCCACAAAAATACTGGATGTCTGCCATGTATTACATTTCCTACTTAATCAAGTCGTACCATCATTTACTGACAAAACTATACTTTTTACTTATTCCACTAAAATTCGTTAAATTAACAATGACGACTCAATAGAAATACTATTGGTAAAGGTTACAATATATGACTGCATCATTGTATAAGCAGTTGACGAGTGTAATCTCTATGTATATAAAGAGATTACAAATTTCCACCTTTCAGCTGTTTTCCTTTCTAATGTATAGCTGTAGACAATCCTGTAAGACTGGGTAACTTCGACCTTCAACTAAAACAAACTGTATCCCCGCAGGACTACATCCACCAGCTCGCCCCAAGCAAAGTCTCCGGCAGGTAGCAGTGCTGGAGCCGTCGCCAGCGCCTCCACAGCGCCCGGAGAACGCACACCGACCGCCCACAACAAACAACTGCAGAATGTCAAGGGCCAAGACCACCCGCCGCATCCTTCCGTAAGTATCACCGACGATGCATCCCAGAAGCAAATATTTGCAATGATCAAGATCATTTCGGAACTTCCAACAAATTGTGTTCGTGTATACAACATAAAGTATATCGCTAATAAACGAGTCGGAAATTAATATATTTCCATTTTAAATAGTAAACAATTTACGCCGCTTTCAGAAATGGTTGATATAAACGACGTTAAACGGTAGACATTTTCTACAAAAAAAAGTTAAGCTTGAGTGCAAGGGATAGCACTATATAAATTAATATTTTTTAAAAACGTCAAATCGTGCAGAAAGTAAATTTTGGCATCCTTTTTTTAATCTGATCTTGTTCTTTCATATTTCTAAAGCGACGTGACCTGAACTGATGCACTATGGGTGTGAGATTTTTAATTGTGTTCGTGATGTTTTTAAAAAGGTTTTAAGTAATGCGCTCCGACAAAATATTTACTTATCTGATGATCTTCCACAGAGTAAGTATTAAAAGAGGCAATGAACTGTGCATTATTATTTTTTGTAGGTCAGTGTTGCTTAGTGTTTATTGGACGTAATTTGGAGTAATTGTTGTTGGAATTGGATTAGTTAAGCTGTTTACCGTGCAGAGCGGTTCCAGTTAATGTATTGTTGCCAAGTATAATTAGGATGTACTTTATTTTATTACTAGAAGTATTAAATGTCAGCACGAGTATATTTTCTTTTGATGTTGTTAGTTTGTGAGATATGGTTATATACCATTTTGCAGATTTTTTTTCTATATGTTTCGTTTATGAAAGCGTTTCCACACTTGACTAATATACGAAGCAAAACAATTACTGTATTTATACATACTGTTATATAAACTAGCATAAATTGTAAGACACCAACATAAAATAGAAACATTAAGCTGCACTAGTGAAAACATAGACTATTAATTTACGTTAAATATTGTCGACATTATAAGATAAAATGTTTGTTATCTAAATTTTATTTTATACTTTATTTAATACCCCAACATGCGAATATTTCAAAGCATCGATTCTTAGAGACAGATTTAAGTATTTTACATGATGTCATAGTCAACCCGGGCTATAATCATCATTTTTGATAATTTATTTTGCTCGATGGAACTTAAATAAGATCTTCAACTTTTTGATTTGCAAAATCTACTGAACCGATTCTAATTTCTTTGTTTGTATTGTGAAAGTGCATGGTAAATATATATTTAAAAATATTTTTTAATTACTTTTTGTTAGAAATATCTTTGCCCAAAATTTGTAGGCCAATTTATTTAAAAAAATTTAATATTGGTTTTGGGTCTGCCTTTTATCATCTTCTTTCGTTCCATTCATATTTCGATATTCCTCGTACATCAATTTGGAACACTGCTGTTTTTCATTTATGTTTTGACTTATGGCAAAAAACACCATGGGGGAATCGGTTTTGTTTACGGAGAACTTTTCCTTTGTATTTAAAGCTTACGGATATAAACAAATAATAAATAGACAAATTGTTTGTAAATAATTAACTCTGAAAAGCTACTTAAAACAAAACGCGAAGGTAAACTACAACTCTCGTAGCATACATGAGAAAAAATTCTCCTATTGATTATGAAATTTGAACGAATTTCCTATATAAAATGATTCCACTTTACAATTAGTATCTCATAATGAAAATTTTGAAAAAAGGGTAACCCTTACTATACACAAGATTACCATAGGCAACTCTCTTTTTTGTGGTCTTGTATGATCTCATATGCGCGGGAATACGCTGTGTGAGACTGAGATGCAGACCGATCTTGCTGGGCCGGGTAAATGGAACAATGAATCAAATGACGGTGCCAACAGAACTAAAGCACAGGCAGAACGCTTACCTACTCTACTTTAATAAGTATCTAATGATAGCTAATAAGTATATAAGCATTGATGACCTGCATCAAAGACTGGAAAGCCTACAGGAACCTAGAAATCCTTACATAAATAGGTGTGTCAGAACCGAGACGAACATAATTCTGATAGCACACGCAGACAAAATAATATCGAAGACGAATACATTATTACGAAATTGAAAAATAAGTATTTGAAATTTGAAAGTAATTTATTTAATGTTGAAATTAAAAGATCGAGGGTATTCATCGCTAATTTTCTTGTTTTTCTGATTAATAAGGAGAACATTTTTAACAAGGTTTCGCTATAAAAAATAAATCATTCAACTTTGCATAAGTAATTGTGAAAAGCATAGACGTAGTTCTTTACAAATGGTAACGTTACAATGAGCTACGAACCATATTCCTTTGCGAAAATTTAATTTAACTTCGAGATATCTTGACAACTTGTTCCAGGTTGTGCAACTCTTAATTTTACTAAACGAACCGTTGTATATAACAGAAACGTATGATTATATTATCATTGTGAACTTTTTTGTTTTGATAGTCTTTTTTGTTTTGTAGATGTCAATAATTGAATAAATGAAAATTAATATATAATTTATAACTTAAGATAATCTAATAACTTGAAACATTTAAAACAAATGAAAATTTGGTGATTTCGTATATGTTTATCAAACATTTCTTACTTACTATAACTTATTTATTAATGTTTTTACAAAAAATCCATGTGATTTAAGTGTAAATCAAGTTGGGTACAGTTTGGAACTAATGTTGTACCTAACCTCGCTGCCATCGCCGCTAGGTATTTTGAAAGTCATTGCCTAAAAAACACAATTGTATCTATTCACTGCAATAAGGAGCCCTTTTACCATGGATTGCTCTTCCCTCGGTGGTGGTTCGTGACTACTTGATAGTTACTGGTGACCATGACTCAGCTGAATCTAATGTGCCCAAACTCAAGCACCGGATCCAAATTTTCTAGCATCTTACAATATCACAGGCATAAGTTGCATTACTAATGTCACATTTCTATAAATTACAAATGCATAAAAATACGCATAAAAGTCCAATCTTTTTGCAGGATTATTTGACTGATTTAAGTACATAGTACTATCTATAGATATTTTTCTCCAAGCAATAATTTATTATAAAGCATATTTCATCACCACCCGATATAGCATCACAAACTTAAATTTGTCATCACTGATCACTGATCAAACATAGACACTATTTAGTCGTTGAAGATAAAACATGATGTGTCCTTGTTTCTAGCAAGGAAGCTATAAATTTCCCGGGAGGCATGGCGCGGCAACCTAATAGCAGTTATAGAAGTTACATCTAGTAGCATAATAGAATTTTCTAGTATCTCTCCAAAAAAATAAATTACAGAGAGCACTTTAAAAGTGATGACTGGCTATTTTTCGTTGAGTTGTTAATTACGTTTGATTAACGTTAAAATTTTCCTTAAAATAAATACGCTTTTAATCTAATAATGTATAAAATAATTGAGGTAAAAGATTATAAGAAAAGAGTGTTTTCATACAGTTTTTTACAAATAATATTGCATTGTTTTAAATTTTCATAGGGTTATTATTTAATTAAATTCTGCTGGAAATTTATTTTTAATTTATACAGTAAAGTATGCAGTTGTAAGAGTGAAAACTACAGTTTTCAAAGTTAATACAATTCAAATTTAAACTCCTCTGAAGCTTTCTCAGCTGCTATAAGAACGCGTTTTCAGAAACTGCAATTTATGTAACTGCACCCTGTTGCAATACTTTTTACAATTTTTAATAAAACGTCAACGAATTAACACAACAAAGCAAGAGTTGCTATGTTATGATACTCATTAAAAAAAGTACTAATGATTCGCTCTTATCACAGTTGAGCAGGCTCACACAAATCCCATCAAAATCGGTCCAGCCGTTTCAGAGATTGTCCGGAACAAACAGACAGACAGACAGACAGACAAAAACTGTAAAAAAAAATTACTTTGGTATATGTACTGTGTATACATCCACAGGCATTTAGTAAAAAGCTGTAATTTAAATATTATAAACAGACACTCAAATTTTATTTATTATATGCAAATGAATTTCGGTAATACAAGATATAAAATCATGATATTTCTCTAAGAATTCATATACATTAAAAAACGGCTTTAAAATGTTTAAAGACATGTCAGTACAAATATAAAGTACGGTAAAGAACTCATATCTCCTACGATGCTTAATTTATGCGAGTTATCTTTATTTTTCTAGCGTAACTCCAGAACTGGAGAACTCCACACGAACTCCACAAGCTGGCAAAATAAATAACATATTTATCAGCTGCCAACGCATCAATGCAGTATGCTAAATATCAAAACAAGACAAAAAATAAAAAACACAGAAATAAAAAAAATCAAAAGCTACAGACGCTCTAATCCCTACTCAAGGACTTAAATGTAAATGGTCGGAGCTTGTAGCTCCTTTAAAAGATCAGAGATGGACCAAAACAGTTACTTCATGGAATGGTCCAACAGGAAAACGCTTATGAATAGCAAAGACTTATGAATAGCCAAAGACATTGACCATTAGGATTCGTTGGAGAAGGCCTTCACCCGAGGAATTTCGCAAAAATCTAATTATCTACCCAAACTTAGTTACTACAATTATAGATTAACACACATAATACATAATGATAGGTTAAGTAATGCACATTAGGTTATAGTGAAAAGTGAATTCACTGTTATTCAATAAAAGGCTTTTCATTTTATTTTATATTACTAATTATAAAATAATTTGCAAGTGTAATTTTGGCACAATGCTTAAAGGTAAAGTACATTAAGTGATATAAATGGAAAAGCTTACGCAAGCATAAATAATTCATTGAACGTGATGGGGCGTTATTTAGTTTAGTACACCTCAGGTGTATTGGATTGGTTCGTGTCTATGGAGTATTTTGTTTGTCACTTATTTATGTTTCAGGACATAGCCTTAGAATAATATTCGTATAAGTATTAAGCTTTAATCCAAATTGGATTTAATCGAGTGACAAGTTTATCAATATTCAACAATAAAATAAACAAATGAGATGAACCCTTTCATAATATATTACAAGTATATACAAATTGTTTTCATATTAAATTACTAGTTCAA